AGTATTTGGGCTCCTGTTGGGTTCCTTCTCTAAATACAGCCATTGCCTGTGACTTTGCTTGCATTTTTGGAGATTTAGATCTGCTCTTGTCCATACTCTTGCTTGTAAGCTGGTCTTGTGTAACCCACATTGTTTCTATTTAGCTTGATGTTGGCAAAGTAGTTTGTGGATTTAGCTGCAAGGTGAAGCACTGATCATTTCTTTCTTGATTTCTGACCAAAACCTACCACTTTCCTGGGGAATTCCAGCCTTCCTTCATCTCCTTTGCAACTGTAATGGTTTTGGTTGCATTTCTGTCAACAATCTCTTTTAGTGGTGATTTTTTCTTTTCTATGTATAAAAAATAATCACCCAGCTTTAATTAGAAAGTCAAAATCCTTGCCAGTGATTTTCAAGTCTCTAAGTAGACTTGAATCACCCTTGTGTACACAGACATGTTTTTGGAAATCTACCTCATGTGGAGTTTGAATTGGCCTGTCTGTTTGCTTTGTTTCTAGGGGTTGATTTGCCTACTCAGTTGTAATTCCTGGGCATCCCACTAAACTGAGTGCTGCTCCAGGCTTTCCTTCTTCCCACCAGCAGAATAAATGCAGGTTGCAAGACAGACCCTCTCTTCTGAAACTTGTGCAAATTCCTGTGAACTGGACCTCTCAGATTCACTTCAGAGGTTGTTAAATTAGTGGGAAACTGTTTGATTGGAATAAGTGAGCTGTGAGGTCCAAACTTGGGGTGAAAGTCAGAATTGGAACCAAAAACCCATTTGTGAAGTGTACAGGAACACAGGACAGCGACTGCCTGGCCATCAGGCAGCACCTACTGGAATAGCCACAAGGAAATGATTAGATCAAATTACTGCTTGATAATCTACAATTTCTTTATTTGCACACTTCAGCAAGCCAGGTCAGATTTCTCAACTACAGGCTCAGTGGCCACATAGATTTTGTAGGTATTTTGGACTCTAGGTGAAGCTAACCCTTTTGTTTGTGGCTAATGGCTCACGGCCTCATTTCAGTTAATTTTCAAGTGTGGTTTCAGGCACTTGGTCTGTGCTACTTCATGGAAATTTTAGTGAGGAAATGCTGTGGTGTCCATACACGTGTTTAATTGAAACACAGCTTCTGCTAAGACAGTTTTCTCCTCCTCTGGAGTTCAGGGCCTTGTCATCTGTACCTGCCAGCAGACAGCAGGTGAATATGACTTGGGCAGAAATGTGTTGTGCAAATATTTCTGCCTTCAAGCTTCTCCAGCACAGGCACATTCCTTCCAGCTGGCCCAGAGGAGTGGAGTACTGGGAGACTCTGTCTGACCTCGCCAAGATGTGCCAGAGATGTTTCACTCAGATATTCATGCCTTGGCAAGAGGAGTACATTGCCCTGAGCTCTATTTCATAAGCTTTTCGAGTTTTGGGGCTCTTGACTCAGAGACCTGACTCTGTTGCATGCACTTTGCTCTTTACTCTTATATTTCTTTTGAATAAGGCTTGGGGCTGAGAAGGGAGAATAATTGGACTTTAAGTTCAAGATGTATTTGGTTTATGCAAGTCTAGAAAATGTTGAAGAAGGCTTAATGTGCTGAACAAAGTGGAAGTGTGAGTTGCTGCAGCTTGTGTGCAGTTTTACTGCAGCTTGTGTGCAGTTTTACTGCCATCCTGCCTTCCCTGCACATTCATGCTTTGTTCAGCCAAGTTACCTCCAGCAATGGTGCAGCAATAATTGTTTTGCAAAGCACTACAATGAGAGTGGTGCCTGCTAAATATCAGGTATGTGGCAGGTATCCCATGGCTGCTGCTCTGTGAGGGAATTAAATCAGCCACACCAGCATAAATACTCTTTTTCTTGGCATAACTGGACCTTGTCAGGGTTGATCTCTCATCCAGGCCCAGGGCAGGAGATGCCTGAAAGGGATCTCACTGCTTGGACAGGCAAGAAGCACATCATGTTGCTGGGGGAACAGCCATTCCAGGGGCTCCCAGGTGAAAGGATGCTTGATCTTTGGAATAATGGTGTAAAGGTTTATGTGAAATACATTTCCCAGGTTTTAAAAATACCAGCTTGACATTTAGTAGGACATAAAGGGAATATATCTACAGTTTAGCTGGTGGTTGACAAAGAATAATAAAAACTGACTACATCTGAAAATGTGTTTGAATTCCTGCCAATTGTGCTCTAGCTCTTAGCACAACAGTTCTGGGAAAAAACAATCATAGAAAGGGCAGTGTTGAGTTGACAAGGATGAGAGTTTATTCTCTTAACATTATTGTGCTGTATTATTTCTGGATTACATTTTTCCCCATTGCAACTTTGTAAAGGAAGGTTTCGAGAATAAAGTAGAGTAAGAACTTGATGTTCTTGGGAGATGAAGAAAGGCAGTTGAGTGCATGGGAATCAGAGTGGGAGACTTGTATGGTCTCCCATTTCCTTCCATAAATGTGACAGTCCTGATGAATTCTGGAGAAATTTGAATGGAAGTGGATAAGCATCTCATTTCCACAGAAATTGTGTTAGGGGCTAGAGAGAAAGTTGCAAAGGGAAGAGTTCAAAAGTAAGGGAATAACAGAACAATCATTGGGAAGAAGTCTGGAGTAAGCAGCTTCTTTGGTGCAGCAAACTTGGGCAAACCTTATTGAACTTGAGACCTTATTTTCTCTTTGGCAGTTCATTTCGCAGCCTCTCTTCTGGGGTTTCTACTTGAACATTTATTTTGAATCATGCAGCATTGGAAATACAGGGAATGAGGCACCCAAAGGCCTGTGTGCCCAACTGTGCAGGCAGCCTGGCTCTGCACATCTTCATTCTCAATCAGCAGGGAAATTTCCCCTTGGCTTAGCAGATGAGATAATCCTCCAGGGCAATGGATGGATGAAGTGGCTCACTCAGCTGGCTCCAGTGACGAGTCTGACATAACCAGACTCGGTGTTTCCCTCGTGGCTCTGCTGCACTCTCACATATTTTTAGCCACAACCCCACAGCCGCCACCTCCTCCTCTGGCTATTCAGCACGGCCACTCAGCCATGCCTGATGTGGGCACCACGGGGACAGGGGACAGGCTGTGAGTCTGGGAACAGCCCTGCTGGAAGGCACATGTGGCTCTTCACCAGGGCTCTGCCCATGGAGCCAGACACCCTTTCCAGCTGGGATCCATTGGGATTCTGCCATGGCCAGATTTATGTAAATCCAGGGGATTGAGGTCGGCCCAATGAGGACTTTTCTTCCTCCTCTTGAGCTCTTTCTAAGTAGCTTTTATTTTGAGGATGCCAGTCTGGACTGCTTTTGGGGGATCTAGGCAACGGCTTTTAGCAACAAGATCATCAGAACACCTTTTTCTTTTTTGGGGGAGGAAAAAGAGCTCCATTAGGAACACCTGCAGAAAATTGCCTCAGGGAGCAGTTTGCCTTAGAAAGGCAAGCTACTGCTGAGAGCAGATTAGAGCCAGTTTACAAATTGCTGCAGGCTGTAGGGCCAAAGCCCTTTTGGTTGTGAGCAGCCACATCTGTGTACTCCCTTCCTCCCCCTCATTTTTTGTCCACCTTTATCAAGGTGGGCTTGGGGGCTATGTACAAGTCACGAACAGGACGAACAGGATGGGATTGCTGTGGAATGTGTCTCGAGCTGTTTATTTCTAAGCATCAGACTCATTACATGGTTATGACAATGGGAAGATGCCAGCAGCTCACATCCAGGCAACAGACCAAGAACTTAATGTTACAACTTACTTTATAAGCTTTTTCACCAGTCACACAAAGCAAAAACATATTGACAGTAGTTCTGTCCAATTACTATAGACGTACCTTTGGTTAAAACAATGATTGCTTATTTCGAATACAATACTTGCTTGTAAGCCTCAAGATACAATGCACAGAGCTCCATTATTAAGCTTAGACCTTCCTAATATCTCACCAGATATACTTTTCTGCAACTTAGGGAGTTATTCTACCCAAGTGTTAATACACAGACCATTGTTCTATTTGACCTTATTCTTCTACTTTTTGTATAATTTTTCTGCTGACAAATCTTATAGCTACTGCTTAGCTCTAATCACCATCCTGCTGTCTCTGAGTCCTGCCTTTTGCAACGTGCCCAAAACCCTCTGATTTTAAGGAATCCCACACACCTTCTCCACCCTCTCTCATATTTTGAGTATTGTCAGTAGCTGGATTCAGATGTGTGGTTTTATTTTATAGCATTTCCATGGTGTTTTTGAGGAACATCAGGTATTCTAGAAGCTGGAAACAATTTTTTTACACCAATAAATGAATTGCTGGGAAGAGCTTCAGTTTCACTACAGATAGAACTTTTGCAGGCAGAGACTGAGGAAGGATTTGCCCTGAATATCAGGGGAAAATGATCCTTCTCATGCTGGCATTCAAAACTACATCCAAAATGCACCTTCAAAGTATCAGTTGTGGGGGGAGTGAAGAGAGAGAATAAATGTGTTCTCATGGTACATGAGGCTTACACAGAGCCTTCCTTAAAATTAAGGTTAACAAGGGATGCATTGGGATCAGTGCTGTTCTTACACCTTTTTCTTTAAAACCAGCTTTTACCTCCGTGTAAAAACCCATTGGGGAGCACAGATCTGCTTTGCCCTTCCAGCCTGGGATCCCCCAGAGATGGAGCAGGGTCTGGCCCCAGGGTGAGCAAAGTTCAGGGAAGTAATTACTGCCTGAACGTGGCAAGTGCAAGGGGCAGGCTGCTCCCTTTGCTTTAGATGAATGATCCTTAATTTACCCTTTTACTGCAAATCTGTGGGAATCCAGGATGGGAAAGGTACATTTCCAAAGTGGATCCAAAATACTTATTACCAGACAGTGAATTTAAGCCAAGTAATAAATGATATCTCTGTACAGTAGAGAAAATCACTTACAATTTCCAATTTCCTGATACATGAATAGCAATTTTTTTTAAGGCAATTTTTCAGCAAGATAGTTGTTTGACTAAAGACCTAGCACTCATATAGTGAGAGCAGTAGGAAAGGTGAGGCAATAATATTAAAATGCCTCCTTTTGGAAGTGGCATAGGCTGCTTTATCTCGTTTCTCTGGCTCACATTCCTTTGGAGGCTGTCACATGTTTACCAACTAGCAGTGTTCCTTCTTCCTTGGGATGTTAAATCAACAAGCACATGCAGAGAAAAGGGCAAGAACACCAACACCGCTCCTGATTCTCAGACTCAGGACTGTGCCTCTCTTCAGCTTTGCCCAGCTCATGTGAGTACTACAGAGTCTAGGGATTTAGCAGACTGGCCCAGGAAGAAGACTTTTCTCATTAACAAAACATTTCAAAGCTTCCTTGGGAAATTCCATTTCTGGTTAGACTCATCTTGCTGCTTTATGTAAGTGTGATTAGGTAAGTCTTGTGTTTGGAATGCTTTTGGGATATTTCTTGGTGAGAAGATAGCTTTCCTTCTTTCTTACTTTCAAGACAATTACAGTTTGAAAAGAAAATCCTATGCTACTCTCGCTTCTAACTTTGGATTTGCATGCTGCTTTGGTTTTCTTAAAATACAAAGATCTTGGAAATTGCAAGGAATTAAATAGGAGTAAGCCTTTTCTTCTGTTTTCTACTTTGACATTATTTTGTTTCCTGCTGTCATTCCAGATTTTATTTTAAGGCAGTAGTAGACTGTAATTTTAGATCCATAATGAGTAACAAAAGTGCAAAGTATTTGCATTCCTGTTAAGCAGAGGGCACATCTGATTGCTGTGCAAGGGAAGCCATGGGTGCTTGCAGGTGTTTGGGACTGAGAGAGGTTCAAAGAAAAAAGGAACTTAATGTTGCATGATGGCTGTGGGGGAAAACAACTGAAGGGATCCCAATAAAATAGTAAATAGATTCCATAGCTTGGCTCAGTATATCTGAAAATATCCTAGGAACAGGCTGAAATTTATTCTTGTGGTCATTTATGTCAAGATTTTGCAGTGTGTGTGTGTGTGTGTGTGTGTGTGTGTGTGTGTGTGTGTGTGTGTTGATGTTTGCTCACGTTGGCTGGGCTGGAGTGTCAGTGCTGCAGAAGCCCTTGGAGTGCACAGACTATTTTAGTCCATCTCCATTGCATCTGTTCTGGCTAAGAGTTGCCTCTATCTGCCTCCCCTTTTCCCTTCTCCTGGCTCTGAAGTGGCACAGCTCTTCATTTATCCCTGAGAACAGTTGGACATCACAGCTTTTGCTTGAAAGAAACTCTTTAGATGCTTTGAAACCTGTTAATGCAAATGAATCCTCTGAAATGACTTTGTGGCTGTTTGCATCTGGAAAAGGCACTTCCATCTGGAGAAGGCCCTTCCCCAGGTTTTGAAGTGCTGGGGTCCTGCCCTGCATGTTGATTTTATGGAGGGTGACTTACAGCAGTTGTTTTCTCTGAGATCATTCCTGCTCCCTATTAAATCTCCTTTTGATTTTCCATGTCCTGTAGAGACAGATATTTCAGGCATAAGTGCCAGGGTTCATCTTTCATTCAGTTTGGCTGAGCTTTTCAGTTTTTGGCTGAACTCAGGTTCAGTAAAGCTGAGGAGTGCGTGGACTAGAAGAAAGTGTGATGTAGGAAAGAATAAACTGGGAAGGCACACATAGGGAATGAGCTGTTCTCCTGGCCATTTAAAATGAGCTCTGCTTCCCTCTTCCTTATGCCTGCAGGATTTCATTGCTTCTCCTTTGTCACAGAACCCTGGGTTAGCTGAGCAATGACTTCAGTTCCTTCCTTTCTCCACTCAGTCCTATTAACTGGTTAACTGCTTTATACCTGTGTGGAGAGACAAATATGAGAAATATTCCCAGGGCCATGGCAAAAGGTGGCAATAATTGCTCAGCTCTCCACTCAGTTGAATACATGACTCTAGAAACTGCTGACATTTTTTTCCCCCACACAAGCATTTGTTTAATGGTTTTTGTTATTGTTAGACCATATTTTCTCAGGGGGTAGGTCACTTGATCAATACCAGAGGCCTAAAAGTCTTCCACAACACTCCCTCTCTTTGAAATCACACCCTGCTTTATGAGCAGCAGCCTTCTGCTTCAGGCCTCCCTGGTAAATATCAACAATTCCTCCATCCTGCTCCTCAAAAGCCAGAGCCTGAGGCTGGTGTCTAGCCCAGGTCCCAGGAAACTGTGGTGGGGCAGCTTCTCCTGTGCAGACATCCTCTGTACCAGCTCAAAATCCATCTGAGGATCCCTCATGACAATTGTAGCTATACCAGAAGTTAATCTGGCAGCGAATAACCTGTGTGGAATGAAACTCCATGCAGGACCTGTGGCATTTGGGTTTAGAGAGTCGTGGATTAGTGTCCTCGGAGACATTTCAATTCCATTCAAATTTCTCCAGAATTCATCAGGACTGTCACATTTATGGAAGGAAATGGGAGACCATACAAGTCTCCCACTCTGATTCCCATGCACTCAACTGCCTTTCTTCATCTCCCAAGAACATCAAGTTCTTACTCTACTTTATTCTTGAAACCTTCCTTTACAAAGTTGCAATGGGGAGAAATGTAATCCAGAAATAATACAGCACAATAATGTTAAGAGAATAAACTCTCATCCTTGTCAAGGAAAAGGGAAGCTGAATGCCAAAGCTACCTCTGCTGCTCAAATCAGCTACCCTGATTTCGGAAAGGTCACAGTCAGGGCCATCTTTGGTGATGTAGCTCTGGTGGTTGTTAGATGGAAACTGGTGGTCGTTCTTGGATGTGAATCTTATCACCACCACACAGAATTTCTTGTCTCAGCAAAAGCAGCAGGACTGTAGAACACTCCTCTCTCCCCTCTGCTCCTCATGCCTCTTTTTGTGTCCCCTTGGCTTGCTAAATGCCAGACTGATCGTCTGGATTTGTGGCTGGGCTTAAATGCAGGGCCCAGAAATCTTTAGTGAATCTCTATAAAGGTTGACCTGGCTACTCCTTTAAAAAAAAATAAAAATCAATGTCTGATCATGCTTTCAAGACAAAATTAGCCACCAAAGCTGCCCCTTTAGCACTGCCAATTAGAAGTTTCAGAAAAAAGTAGGTGTTCTGTGCTGCAGTTTGACAGCAGCCCCTGATCAAGGAAAGTTGAGAGGCACATGCTTGTCTCCCTTTTTATTTTTGGTCAGCAGTTTGCCACTGCTGCCTGGATGTATTTAATGGAAGCTGAAATAGGGACAGAGCAGCTTCAGAAGGCTCCAAAGAAGTAGCACCAAGGGGATGTGCAATGCCAATATTGAAAACTTTATTTTAATTCCCAAGGTCAGGGGTTGAGGCATGGATATTGTGAGGGTCCTGCATCCTGCCAGGCTGTGCTGAGTGCAGGTGTGAGGCTGTGGTCCCTTGCCACCTTTCTTCTCCTCTGGTACCTGCCAGGAGATGTCAGTGGCCTACAAGGATCCAACAAATAACAGGTCAAGGAGGAGCCAGGGCTGTGTTCAGAGGGTGCCCTGCTTTCCATTGGCACGTGGCCCACTCTCCACTGATGGGAAATCGTCTAAATATTAAGAGATTTGGTTTGATTAGCTAAATTCTCCTGTTGGAAGCACATTTCCAGTCCCTGGAGCAATGGAGATCAGACAGGTTGCCAAGGCAACACACAGCCTTCAGTGAGAGGTTTACTGTGGCGTGTCCTTGGTCAATTGATGGAGTAGGGTTTATTTAGGTCTTTGAAAAAACCCAAAGCTGCTGTCCAGCCTTTTGCTGTGATGAGTCATTGTGCTTTGGGTCAAATTGGTGAAACTAAGAGCAAGGTTTTGTGGATGAGAAAAATAAGAATATAAAGGTCCCAATTAGATTCCTCCTTGATGAGGTGAGAGCACTTGAATTCTGAGTGGGGACAACTTGTTCTTCTTTATCCCCCCCCAAATAACAGCAACTGAGATCCTCCTTTCTCCCCCTTCTCCTCCCATTTTCTCTCTCTCCCAAATGTAAAATACTTATTTTTATTCTCTAGAGGACTCTGTGCTCACTGTTTAATTCTTGACTTATATCAGAGGTCCTTCCAGTTTGACCTTTTGTCACTGCTTTGCTTGTTGCTCTCTGCTCCCTTCTCTGTTAAAGAAGCCCTGGTAAATTCAGCTTATAAAAGTTTCCATTTCATTACATTATTCCTCCTTTTGTATCAACTGAGAGATGAAAATCTCATCAAGTCACTGCGTCTCCTGTTGCCTGTTAATTGATCTGGATCCCAAATCAGGGAGTGCCTGGGGACAGGAGCATCTCTCACTGTTACTGTTCCCTGGATTTACTCACACAGCAGAATTGTGCCAGTGGTGGGCACAGCCACCTCTGAAATTTTGAAAAGGACCTGATTCAATATTCTCACAAGCCAAGGAGGGAAGTGCCATTGTGCTGAGTGTCAGGCCTTAATTTGCTAAATTAGTAAAGGTTTCTGTTTTAAAAAAATTCTGGCAGTGATAGGAAAGACTCCAAGGCTACAAGGATAACATGATCACAGGGAGCTAAAGGTGGTTATATAGGAGACACATATCAGAGAGCCCAATTTTGTTTCTCTCACTGTTGAGATGAATGTGAGTTATTCTCACCAGTGGATACCCTGTTAGTTCAGGGACAAATCACTGTACAAGCAAGATTTGCAAAGAGTCACTGCATGCTTTAACATGGGGAGCCAGGCTGGCATTTTCTGAACATGCAGGTGCTGCTCTCTTTTGAGTGTGGACCTCAGCTGGTGTCATGTAGCACAGGGAGAAGAGAAGGAATTGAAAAATAACTCCAGACACTGCTTGCTGTGAGAGAAATTCTGACCTTCTCTATAAGAAAACCGAGGCATGAACTTTATAGACAGTGACTTGTATGTGAGAGGGAATAATTTTAAAGGGTGGAGGAATTCTGCATTGGCATCCTTATTTATTTATTCTTTTTGAGAGGATGGCAGCTGATAGATGTGTCACTGTGATGCTGCACAGCTATCTTCTTTCCCTGTCTCAAAATACTGCATTAGTGATACCATGGCAACAAAGAAGTTGTATTTAAGAAAAGGAAAAAAAAAGCGTGACTTCAGTGTTCAAGAAATGTGGCAGACTGACAGCCCTAGTCTTCCCTTTCTACCAGTAAGGCAGTGTTAGTGTCAGCTATGACAAAAGGTATCAGATTATGATCTCTGTGTTGTACTGTGACTGAAAACAAACCTGGGACACGATCAAAGACAAACATACTACAGGGAGAGCAGGCTGAGAACCTTCTGAGAAAAGGTGCTCTTGTTGGACAATTAAATTCTGCTAAATTATAAATTT